TCATCCATCCGTAGTTTCGTTGGAAACGCCTTTGTTGGGTCCTAGTCATCTCATCGAAGGGTATTGCCCTTCCTGCACTATACTGGAATGAATGTCATACATTTGGCCGACGAGGTTGCGGCCTAAATGTTCTTCCAGTATCTGCTGGTCTGAACAGCCTTTCAAAAGGCGGTCCTCTATAGAATGATGTACCTCGCCCTCTACCAGGCTGAATGTTTGGGAAGAAAATAGGGCGATGAGGATGCTGCCATGTCTCTGGTTTCTCCGTGTTTCCATTTACTTCCCTTTTACACCTTGCACACAGGACGTCTTCGTCCTTTTTTGGTTCTTTTCCTTTGATTTGTTCAAAGACGCTGGGATGTGGTCTAGGATCTTCTTCTCCGTCATCTACGACCAACTTGAATTTTGGTAACTTGTTCTTGAATCCAGATGTTACCATGTTTACTCCAAGTGGCTGTGGGAAAGGATTCTCGTCCACTGCCATCTTTTTCTTATCATCGAACGTAATTCGTCCTGATTCAATAGCATCCTGCATTACATGACGGAAAACCAAGTAATTGTTAGTCAAATGTGACCATACATTATGTCATTTACAATATTTTTTACCCTTAATTTGTTCAGGGTTTGGCAATTTGTACTTATCGCTCAATCTTATCTGCTTATCCCTATATAATTTGTCGAATATAAGGTCAGTTTTGGTCACATCGAACGAGAACGTTCTAGCCTTTATGTTTCCATTCTTTATGGGCTCATCTTTGCCCGATGGTCTAGGCTTGGCCATTATGGGATAAGTATATGTATCCCCTTTGACCAATTCGGTCAAACACATTTCGGCCTGATCGTATGACTCGTCGTCGATGGTATGAATGTCAAAATTCGGGTCTTTGTAATAAGTCCCTTTACTAGAATTTTTCATCTGTTCCTCTTCTCTTATCAGTCGCTCATACCTAATCACATTTGCACTCAACTGGAAAAGGTCAGAAAATTCTTTGTCTTAGAACTTCTTTTTTAAATCAAAGCTCAAGCAGCCTTGAGCGATTTTGACAAATTCCTTTTCGGGCAGAGGTACAAAACACTTGCTTCTTGCTGTTTTGAACCTTTGGAGAAAACTTTCTGCCCATTCATTTGGCATTTGACGTAAATTCGCCAAATCGGCCAAAGTGATTTCAGACTCAGTTTTATAAAATTGAGCGTGAAACAACTGTTCCAATTGTTGCCATGTTTGAACAGAGTTCGCTGGCAAGTTGATGAACCAGGAGAAAGCTACTCCTGTTAACGAACTAGGAAAAAGTCTCATTTTATGGTAATCGGTTATATCACCACTTTGCAATGTGTATCGCCCTATGTGTTCTAGAGTAGACAACTCTTCTAAATCGGTAAACAGTGAGAATTCTGGCACTTTGTATCCTCTAGGCCATGGATATGCTTGATCTACCCAATCAGGATATGACTTTGTGTACATCGGCCTAATGACGGGACGCACCCTAAAAGCCATCTGATCCTGTACGATTTCCATAATCTGATTCCTCAACATGACGTTAGGGTCATATGGAATCCCTACAGGTTGGTTAACCGGTTGGTTTGCATGAGGCCTGATGTTTGGTCCTTGATTGGCAACAAAGTTACCATGATTAGGGTCATTACCATTAGCCTGAACATCTACTCCCTCGTTACCACGTGAAATATTCTGTCAATTGTTTAGGACATTATCTCTCACATTTGGATTACCCCCCAAGTTAGGCATACCACTACCATTATTTTGATTTGGTACTGTAGTACCCCCTTGGTTTGAAGTAAAGGGACCAGAAAGTGGTTCTACCCCTTGACTCGGATTGGGAACTGAAAGATTATGTCCTACAATTGTCCTAGTTTGAAAGTGACTTATAAGAGGTATAGCCGGTTGACATATTTGGCCCACTAACTTGTTCATTGTTTCATTCAACGTTTTTAGTTGTTTGGCCATGTTGTCATAGTGTACATTCCCATTTTGTGTAAATCTTTCCATATTATGAATACTTCGAAGATTTACCTGTTCAACGACGTCTTGCGTGAGTTCTCCGAGTAATGCACGCATGGTTCGAGGACTCAACTCCGTCATTGGTTCGTAACGACTGTTACTGCTTTGATTTTGTCCATCTGTTCGTGGAGAGGCATACTGCTCCTCATATCGCTCGATTACAGACTGGATTCCTCCCTAACTTGCTCCTTCCTTGTCGGATCTCTGAGGCATATTGTTTCACCTTTTGTACTTTCAACACCTAACACCACTGTCCCACTGGGCGTGCCAAATTGTTTCGCGCGGGTTAAGTCGCTAACAATTAAAAAGGATCAGACGATTGTGTAAGGGACGAAACCTCTTGAGACAAAGTCCCAAAAAGGGGTGTTCTTTTATTGGCGATGAACTTTACAATTGGAAATGAAAAATAACGTGCCTCCAAGGGGCGCAAGCACACGAGTTACAGAAAGAAAAGTGTTTAAGTCTAAAAACTAAGGAAATGAAAATTACATATTCTCTGTTCGAGAGTTTTGGATTCGGTCCCTTCCTTCTATGTTCTTTCTCCCTTTTATACCTCATAGACGATCTCTTTGCGATTAACTACTCTAAAAACTGCGTGATCGTCCTATAACTACCTACTTTCTTCGTAGTGGCCATTTTGTCATGAAACTGCCTTTTAACTGCTGCCATTACCTTTCATCGTTCAACCGCTTTCAATTGAATTCCTTGAGTCGTGGAACGTGATAGGGCTACTTTAACAACTGCCTTGATAACTGAATTTCTTGATAACCACGATGCGTTATGTCTGTCGATACCTTGGGCGACTTGAAGGTTTGGGCGAGAATAGAATAACAGCTCTGAGCGACCGTATGACACTTTATTCGTTCAGATTCTGGGCGACTTGCAAACTTGGGCGATGGCGTTACCGCATTCTTGGGCCCCCTTATTTGGGCCTTCACCTTGATTCGTTTGATTGGATTTCGTTCTTTGGGCTATCTGATTTGGGGATCCTCCAATTGGGCTTTACTCCTTGGGCTGTTCGATTTGGGCTGAATTTTTATGTGTCAACAGTATGAATGTTGTGAATGGCCAATAGATGATCCGTCACTCTTAGATAGTAAGAGATTATGATCCGTCGAAAAGGAGTTCTTGACCTACATTGACTTAACAGTATAATGAAAGATATGGTCGATAATAGAGATTGACACACTTCCATATCTCGTAATTGATCAAATCATATTGACAAATGGATTATAGTTTCACGGTAAACGAAAAGTTTAGTTTTATCATACCACATGACATTTTTCATCATATGTATTGCCCTAACATATTGATAGATATCAATCTGGGAAAGTAAACGTGAATAGGTAATAAATTAAAAGAATGTTTTAATTTATCGATTTTGATTAGATTAAAATAATAATTCACATCGCAAGACATCGTGATTAGGAACTTGATCGGTCACACACAAAAGGAAAATTGGAAGATTGTGTTTTACCAATTAATTAATTTAAAAAGCATTAGATAAATAAATTAATTGAGTTACTTATTTATTAGCCCAAATTAATTAATTGAATTAATTAATTCATGAACCAAACTTAATTAAATGGGTTGATTAAATCTTGGACCGGGTTAGGCGATGAGCCAAGCCTATTTCGGTTTGTATAAATAGGTAGCTAGAGTTTTGGAATTGTAGAAAAAATTCATTATTCTTGTCAGCACAAGAAAAATCCTAGTTGTCACAATATGTTTCTCTGTGTGGATTATTATTGGAGGCTAGACAATTGGACAGCTGTGGGTGACAAATCAAGATTGCTGGAACGAAAGAATAGCAAAGAAGTTTGCAAATCTAGAAAAATGTACAATTTCTATCTAAATATAAAAAGATCTTTGGTGGGAATTGAAATTTGTTTTATTTCCGCTATGCATTATTAAGTAAATTCCCAATAGTTTGTGATTTCCAAATTGTGATGATTTTTTGTAGTTGCAAATGGTGGTAAAGTGGCACGGCATTCGATTGGTGGCTGTGCAACGATAGTACAAGTGGCGGGGATGGCGAGGTGGTGGGGTAGGGATGGAGATGGAGGTTATGATTGTTGGTACAAAACTATGGTTGTGGCGGTGTTGGAAGTGATGATGATGGTTAGATGGTGGTGGCAGTGGCAATGACAGTGACGATGGTGCTGATAGTAACAATGGTGGTTCAGTGGTGCAGGTAGTGGGGGGGTTGGGGCTGTATAAAGTTGGTTTGTGACCAATAAATTTTATAATTTGGGATCATAAATAAGTATAACCTACAAAATTTGTGACTTGTATACTAAAATGATACGTAACCTATTACTTTGATAATTTGTGATTGTGATTTTTAAAATATGTGATATGTGACTTCAAATAATATATAATCTATTAATTTGATAATTTATGATAATAAATGAATAAGTGCATAACTATGACCATAAATAATATAATTGTGACATTAATATATTTAATTAATAAAATATTTTTAATTATTTATTAAAATCAATAAATTTTAATTACAACTTGATTTGTGAATTTTAAAACTAATCTTTAAAAATGGAATTGTATATAGTAACCTCGTTATTTATGTATTGTTCTCTTAAAAAAAGTGATGTTTATACTTAAAGAACCCTAATTTTTTTGTTAAATGGGCTTCTACTAAATAGGGCTCCAAACCCCGTCCAAAGTCGAGACTATAAGGCCCACGGAAAATGCTCAAATTGGTATTTAATTGAAAATTTAAATTATTGAGATATGTGATATTATTTTATTAGCCAATTAAATTATTGCTTTATATATTAATAGTACTTTTTTTGAAGTACAATTTAAATTAAAAAATATAAAAATTCGGAACGTGTTCAAAAAATTCTAGAAAGAGAATTATGATCATGTCACTGTCCCATTCATCATTTAGAACGGGGCAATGCGGGACGAGAATAAAATTTTTTGTAATCCCTACACAAAAAACCAATAAGAATTTTTAAAGTGAACACAATCCCATTTTTTGCCAATTAAGACAAGAATCAGCTACACTTTATAACTAAGACAGCCATGGAAAGCTATAATTACTACACAATCTCTATAGAAGAAAGTATAGTGCAATGGAGAGATTCTATGAACAGTAAGTTCTTAGAAAACATTCCACCAATCACTATCAATCAAAACCAACTTTCTCCACAAAAATTACATAGAATCCCTACAGGTCATGGTAGACACCACTTCATTGAGGTGTCCTTTACATGCTTCACTTCATAATATGTTTAGACATGGAACAACTGGTAGATGATTTTTCTTGATTCAACTGGTACATATTAAAGGTTTTCTCGTTCTAGTCTTCCATAGTTAAAGCCATTCAATCACTCCTTGTCGGAAGCTGATCAAGCAGCTTGCCACGCCAGCAGCAAATCCTATATCAGAATGCCATCCGAATGAACTAGTAAACTTACGTATCTTCTGCATTAAGGTCTCCCTTCCTCCGATACTCCAGCAAAGAAGTCCTAAATAGTGAAATCTAAATTCTTCCAGTCCACTTCCGTCTCGAGTTAGACCTCTTTCTGCAAGATTCTATTAAGTTGAACTTCGTCCCGAAATCAATGAAGTCATGTGAAGCGACAATTTCAGGGCCAGTAAAATTTATCACTTCCGAGCTCTGAAAGTTAATTAAAGCAAGATATTACAACCAAAGGAACAAATTCAATGTAAAAATAGAAATATCGAGAAATGCACTTACTCGTCATTCATCTAGATCGAAGAAGACGAGCTGCAAAGGCTCCATCAAGTGAATGTTCGACGGGATTAGAACTATAGAATCCATTCTCGGTAACAAAAGTGGAAGGTACGTATCTATCAGCAGGATCTACGTAGAATTCCTGTATACAAGTCATCCAAAACTTTCTTTTAGATGACAAAATAATAAAAAGAAAACCCTCAAAGTCAATCATATTGAGAATCAAATCTATAAATTTTACAAGGCAACCAGATAATTTGATAACCACAGAAAATGAGGTTTACTCTCGAGGAAGAATGCATCAAATGATCTCAGGCAATAAATCAACTTGCAAAATAATCAGAAAAAAATAGAAATAATTTTAGCACATCTCAAGCTTGACACGTCTCAAACGGTCAATTTTTTCACTACTCATGTAGCAGCAGTTGATAAGCATTTTCTTGTCCACTATACCAAATCTCCGTCTGAAAATAACATATTTTCTCATCTATAACTTAAAAGAAAATAATTACTAATGCTTAGATAGAAATAACGAAACTATCAAGTTCATGTAAAAGCAGAATTGCAGGACTAAAACATAGCATCAAGAGAGGCTGCAGGTAGTTACTGGATGCCTCTGAAGAAAAGCACCCACTCTTTCTTCATTCTCATCTGGATCAATTGAACAGGTGCTGTATACTAATACTCCACCAATCTTCACTAACCTATTTATGCACAGGATAAATCAAAAGAATATAAACAATATAATATAAATAAAACAATTTCTAGATAATAATAACCACGTTGAAGTTCCAAATCCCAGTTCTCAACTAAAAAATGACTTTCATCAGTTAACCCCAGACCAGTCATTTTAATTCATGAAGGGAACAAAGCCAATTGCTACGGTTATTTAGGGTGCGTTCTCTTTATTGTTTTCGGACCGTTTTATATTTTCGATTTTTCAAAACTGTGAAAACGCATTCTCTTTCAATTTTTCAAAACTGTGAAAACGCATTCTCTTTCAATTTTTCAAAACTGTGAAAACGCGTTCTCTTTCCCGTTTTCGAAAACGCGTTTTTGAAAAAAAAAAAAAAAAAAAAAAAAATATATTGAAAACAAAAAAACATGTTTTTAAAAATTATATTGAAAACACAAAACGATGGTTTTATCGTTTTGGATGTTTCCAGTGTAAAACTTGAAAAATTTGAAAACGCGGAAAATGCAACCATTTTTCATAAAATCTAGTCTCTGCCCGTCTCTCTCTCCTAGAATCGAACCCCTGCAACCGCGATTTTCAGCGCCGGCGACGCAACCCATGGTCACGGACCACCACCCCTAGCACCCCTTCATCATGGCGCACCCAACGAACCCATTGGTCATCACCAATGTCACCGGAAAATCCGTTGTCGGCCGCGAGTTCGCTGTGTCAAATTTCAGCTGTGGATTTCGAATTTTTGTGTTGTTTGTTGTTATAATACCATGTATGGACGCGTCTTGCTGAGCTTGATCTAGCTATGGGGTGTGATTAACATGGGCAGCAACTGGGTTGATCAAATTTGGTAGAAAATCGTGCGTGAGCGATTATTTTTGGACGTTACTTGGCTTGATTTTGCTGTCATTTGGGGTTGTTGTTTGTGTAGTGTTGGTGGGGATTGATGAGGAGATGGTGTTGATGCAAAAATCGTGACGGTGGCCGGAAGTCGGGTGGTGGTCGGTTTGTGAGGTTGAAGACGGCAGCTCATGGTGGCTGGAGAAGAGAAAATGACCATTTTGATTTCCAGAAAAGAACACGTTTTTAATTTTCATGTTTTAAAAAATAAATTTCTAAAATGACAAAAAGAACATATTTTCAATGATTTCAAAATACACACTCAAAACACAAAACTCAAAATAAATTCAAAACTCAAACACGATGAGAACAACCCCTTAGCTTCTATTTTACTTTTGCAAGTACTTCGCATTGTATTTTACTATGCAGTGTAACAAAGAGAAAATTACATTGATTTATTTAAGATTCATTTAAATTAATGTTATGCCAGTCTAGGAGTCACCAATTAGCAAGCTATAAAGGTAAAGCAAATTTCTTGACTCACATGGAAGCGGCATCAAGTAGTTCATCTTGTAAGTGCTTAAGTTCCTTCATGTCTTCCAGTCTCCTATTCCATCGCAAATCTGCTCTCTTTATTAATTAAATCAAGATTCAGGTAATTTGTTAGAAGCATATTGTCAAGATATCCAGACGAGATAGAAAAACAAATTGACTAAATATGAATGGAAGGACATGGAGTAAAGGAAAAAAACAGGTTTTTTTTTTTTTTTTTTTTTTTATTATTTTTATTTTTTTACGGGATGCAGATATTTTGTTTGAATACCTTAGAGAGAACACCCAATCCTGAGCAAGGAGTATCAAGCAAAACTTTATCAGATTTTGCACAATTCTTGTCCTGATTAAATCAAAGTAAGATAAATAACTATTTTCATTGTAGCAAAACAATGCCAATTTAAGAAGAGAAATTCTTACAGCTAATGTACGAAGATCAGCATGAGCAGTAGTGACAACACTATCAACTTCATGCAACTCTGCTGTCTCTTTAAGGATTCTCAGTCGGCCTTTGTTTATGTCGATGGCACATATGCTACCTGATCAACAAGTTATAATATATTCCAAATTGACTTTCTCATGTTTAATGAAAAAGTAAATTAATGAACATAAATACACTTCTTATTGCTTTTATTTTCAGAAAGCTGAAAACCTGCTAATTGACCCTACTTTTTAACACCCCCTTCACTAGTCAAACTGACAGTCCACCTTTTTCAAAAAAATGTACCTTGACCACTCAATTGTGAAGCCATGAACAGTGTCTTTCCTCCTGGAGCAGCACAACAATCAACAATAGTGTCCCCAGGCCTTGGATCCACAACAGAGACTACCAAGCCTGCACCAAGAATTATAGCGGGTTACCACATGAGTTCTTTGAATGATACACTTCCAAACATTAATCCAATAAATTGTACATTGTGGTCCCTAGCACTAGAGAAACAATAGTCCGCATGGGAACAAAGAGAAATGTCCTATAAGATAGTGTGTTCTTCTGTTCTCCCTATAGCCCAGTGAATTGATGAAAAATAAAAGGAAATACAGTAAAAGACAATATAAAGATTCCCTAACAGGGGAGCACTGTATTTATCGCGTCTTTTAAAACTCAAGTCACATGATAGTTGAGTTTACCGGCACTCTCATCCTGGACAGAACATAAACCTTTTCTCAGTAACCCAGCTTGTATGATAACCTGAAAAAGGTAAATCCGGAATGATCAGGAGTCCGCAGGGTACCTCAATCACAGATTCTGCAATCATAACATAACTTCATTTTAGCCATTTTCTTTTGGAGTTAGTGATTTACAACAGACAAACAAAGCAGTTGCCCCATGGTAAGGAATAAATTGCAGTGAAAATTATTACCATTTAGAAATTATTTAGTTTATATTACAGGTGATTTTAATCAATATTAGTTTTGGAGATGTAACTAGAACTCAATTATAGACAAAACGAAATAACAAAAGGCTAAATGCCTCACATATATATATATTGCAGGGAAATGATCTTAACCATGGATGATGAGCAGAATCTTGAAAATATAATACTGAGCCTATACCTGCATCCCAGTTCTGATACGAACAAAATCATCCAAATGTGGTGAAAGTTCATATGGAACCTAAAGCTCAGGAAAAGGAAACAAAGATGAGCAAATCAATTTGACACAGCAATTCATGTACTCTCTATGCATATGCATTTCCCATAATCAAATGTATAGAGGGTGAGGGGAGAGAGAAGTGATATATGTGAACCAAAAGATTAACATGGATAGAAACATTCATGGTCGTGCATAAATTGTTGCAAAATGTATACATTAGTTCCCAAAAGTCAACCACAGTTAAAAATATTTAGGGGTTGTATCACAAAGCTTTTGATAAAAGGCAAATTTTGATAAAAATTGATGAAATATGTAGTTGAAAAATTGATAAAGGTTGAGTTGATGAGTTCTATAATATGTGTGATTAAAATTAATTGTTGAGTTTTGTCCTCAACTTTTTAGCAACTTTTCAAGCTTTCCCAAACAAGCACTTAGATACCATTCTCCTCAATCAAAGGAGAGACTTGTCAAAATTCGAGTGGAAAAACTAAAGCAATCACCTTGAACATTTCAAGTTGTGTTACTAGATCAGCCCTTGTAAAACCTTTCCCTGTATTTGCTCTGAAAGAGGCATCACCAAGACGATAAAAGTTCAGATTTCGATACCCAAAAAATAAAAATAAATAAATAAATAAAATAAAATAGAACAAAACAGAAAACAGAAAACAGAAACAGAAACAAAAACAAAAAAGGAAAGAAACAAAGAAAAGTAAGCCAAAACCTGAGGCTGAAATAAGGATTACTGTTATTCCACATCATTAGTTCAATAGCTTTTTCCTGTCCATGGTGCTTCATCCATCGTCTCACCATCCACTGGAACATTAAGTGAATGAAAATGCTGCTAAGTGGATTGCACAGTGGCAGAATCGTCCACACTTAACAGTAGGAGTGATATCAAAGAAAAGCAGGAGTAAAGCAGTTTCCTTTTAGACTACGTACTTTGTATTCAGAAATATTCAATGTTGTTACCTTGTAAGCCTACCAGGGATGGACAATTTGATTTTATGAATTAAAACGGTTTGGAACTCCAATTAAAATCTATCAATCATAGAAATAATAATTTTACACTTATCGTGGGAAGACTGGTAACATTTGATGAATCCTACAAAATAAAATCTATAAGTATTGGCAAGTAGTCCAGTTCTAATTTCTAATAATTCTTTTGCAGTTGAAGTAGATTGAGAAATTTGATATTGTCAGGATGAAGGGAAGCTGAGATGCTATCACGTTACTTACAAATTGAATTTTGTAGTTTCTATACATACATGTCAGAATATTTTTTTATGGAAAAAGAAATCAATTGAGTGAATTAGCTTGTCTACATTGTGTAACGAACCAAAAGGAGATAATTATGAACATACTACAGGATGAGAATGAATAGTGGCAAGAGCACGGGCTTGCTGGCGATCATCACCTTCCACTTTTGGAGAAGGGAGTGAGTTACTTTCCTGAAGAAACATAAGAGATAAGAAATCTGTAGGTGCCACAATAAATCCAACATATTCTAGTGGTCATGAGTCCAGTTGTAAATGTTGGAATATTTTGTATGGACTAGTATAATCATGATCTATTTACTCATATGTTTTACATTAAAGCATGTTTCGGACGAACTATATAATTATAATGTTGTGATACTGGATTGTAATGGATGGACATATATTCATGACTAACAGCTTGAGCCCTTAGGCTTACTCTGTAAAAATACTTTATCCACGCCTTTGGTCAAGGGACTTCTGTAGCACCAATACATAATCTCAACGTATTAATTCCAACCCATAAGCCTTACATATTTTGTCTTAAGGGTTGAGAATAGTATGTGCAGTGTTTGGTAAGTGGGATGTGGGTGAAATTGTTTAGTATTGTGTAAAACGAGGAGGTGAAAGAGTTCACTACCCTCTTGGCAATTTGGTTCCATCTTCTTCAGGAAATTTTGGCGAAGATCGCAGCTCAATGTTTCATCCAAATATTAAAGGTACACACATACATGCTTCAAGTTCAGACACTATTGCGTTTTGTATGTTGTTTTGTTGGCTAGAATTCGAATTTATAAGTGTTGCAAAAAATAAAGGGAGGGGGTGTTTGAGCCCCATTTTTATGAAAAAAACGCATTGTAAAATAGCAAATTGATGGGAAATATGTGATTGAAAAATAAGGAAAAGTTTTTAATTTACGTGTAATATTATTTTAATGAAGAATGTGTGGTTGAAAAAAAGAGAGGGAAAAATGTATTTGGGAGAAAATGGGAACCAAACAAAGCCTTTAGAATGATTTGAGTTTGAATTCAATTAAAATTTGTTATTGTTGATAGAAATTTCAACACCAAGGTACCTCATTCTCCCCAATGGCTTGGGGTCAATTATCAATTTACTAAGAATTTAAAAATTAAGGTAGAATGTCTTGGCAGCAAATTGCTCACATATATTTGAACAGAAGATGACTGACCTTAAGCACAACCAGCTTCCGCAGAATCCCATTAACCATATTACCAGCACCAGGTCTGAGTGCAGCCTTTGCAAGCCTTACATTCTGTTATACAAATATTCAAAGGAAAAGTTTATAATCACCAGATATTTAAAAATTTCACACACTTCTTGATATAGCACCAAGAGCTTGATCACAATAGCAAAGGCCTCATTCGTCGTCATCTGACAGGTACTCTAGGAACCCCAGTATCTACAGAAAAAGGGAGTGATGGAAAAGGAAAACGATATTTTGAAGTCCTTGTAACATGGAAAAAGATTAGCAGAACAATTAATTCAAATAGTCCTGTATCTCTGGCTTAGGGACAACTGACGCTAGGATATAAATTCGAGCATCATTATTATGAATCATTTGAAAGTCCTCATAATTATTGGCAGAAAATAAAATAATAAAATCTTAAGAAACCTTGTTCGGAAACTCATTCAATCAGTCAAACTTACCTCATCGACAACTGCATATGGAGGCATTTCTAGCTTGACGACCTCATAAACACCTATTCGAAGAATCTAACAACAAAATGTGGAAATTTATTAGTAAAAAACCTCAGAATTTCCACAATGAGATTACAAAAGCTATCCAACATGACGAAAATGCAAATTAAGCAAGAGAATATATGAAGCTATGCCTCGTTAAAACTGATTGCCTTACTCCTGATTAAGAGAACTTTAACAAATAGAGCAGGAAAATCTGGCTATGCTGCTCACTTGTTTTTAGAAGGTTAGAGAACTATACTATTAATCCCCATTACAATGAAGAACTGATTTTATGCTATAATGCACGTGTTAAGGAAATAAATCAATAAGGAATCATCTACATTAGGCAAACATAAATAGGGTTTCCATATTGTATTAAATTCCCATAATTGTGCTCGAGTCAATCTATATAATGAAAGTAGGAGATGAAGATTTAAAACTTCTTCTTCTCAATGTTTATACCAACCTTTGTTTTAACATGGTAACAGAACCACGTTCCTAAGGTTTGGTAGTCTCTTCTCTTCTGCCTCTTCTCCTTCATCGCAAGCCTCTTTCCTTCCTTTTTTTTTTTTTCTCTCTCGTTCCTTTTTTTCTCTTCTTTGTTTTATCCTTTTAACACAATTGTAAGGCATATGGGTACTATTGTTGGTGTCGAACGAGATTGATCACCAGTCGTGTATTTACTCCAGTTTGCGGTAGTTGTGGTGGGATTTTTGTGGTTTTGCATAGTCGTCAAGTGATCTGCGATCGTTGTGCTTATTCTCCACCACAAAATGGAGTTGAAGAACGTAAAAATCGTCATTTGTTAGGGGTTACTCGTACTCTCCTTCGTCATATGCATGTCCCTAAACGGTTTTGGAGTGTTGTTGTCCTCGCTGCATACTATCTAATTAATCGCATGCCATCTTCTATTTTGAATGGTGCATCCCCTTTTTCTATTGTATTTTCCTCTTCTTCACAATACTCGTTACCTCTTTAAGGTTTTTAAGTGTGTTTGTTATGCCCATCACTTTGGTTCTGGTCATGACAAATTTAACTCTACCTCTATGAAATGCGTTTTTCTTGGTCACTCTGAAACACAGAAGGGGTAACTTTGCTACAATCCTTCTCTACAACACGATTTTGTAAGTGCAGATATCACTTTTGACGAGTCCACACTCTAATCATAGTATGTCACCCGAATCCACTCGAGATCCCTTTAGCTTTTCCGTTCCATATCTACCTGTTGGTATTTCTTCCGAACCAGATTTGTCTCCACCCATTAAACCAGAGTTATCCTCATCTTATAAGAAACCACTTCCTCTTTTACAAGTTTATACTCAACGATCTAAGCCACCAGCGCCTATGGCCCCATTTGTCACCTAGCTGTCTACAGATCCTACATCCGTCCTCTATTCTGATCGTGAGTCATTGCCCATTGCCCTCCGTAAAGATAAACGTACTTGTGTAACTAAACATCCTATCAGTCACTATGACTTCTGATTTTTTGTCGCCTTCATTTTCTTGTTTCACATCCCAACTTTCTAATGTTTTTGTACCTAAGACAATGATAGAAGCTTTATCTGATCCTCAGTGGCGAAAGGCTATGGAATTAGAAATGACAGCTTTTCACGAGAATAAGACTTGGAATGACCTCATTCCTTCACCGCCTAGAATACATCCTGTTGGTAATAGATGTGTCTATGTTCCGAAGTTCAATCCCGATGGAAATGTTGATTGATTGAAAACCCGACGAGTTGCTAAAGGATACACACAGACATATGGCATTGATTATGATGAAACGTTCTGTCCAATTGCTAAGATCTCCTCTATTCCTGTTTTGGTTTCTATTGCTGCTAACCTTGGTTGGCCATTGTTTCAATTGGATATTAAAAATACCTTCCTTCGTGGTAACTTACACGAAGAGATTTATATGGAGCAACTTCCTGGATTTGTTGATTAGAAGGAATATCAAAACTATGTTTGTAAGTTCAAAAGACTTTATATGGGTTATAGTAATCACTAAGGGTATGGTTTGGGAAGTTTCCTGAGATTGTACTGAAACATGGTCTTCAGCGGTTCAGGTAGATCATTTAGTATTTCTTCTACAAACTGGTGCAAGCTATATTATCTTTGTAATTTTTGTAGATGAAATTATAATCACTGATGATGTACAGATGGGATTGGCCGATTGAAGCAATTTTTACAAAAATATTTCCAAACCAAAGATATAGGCAAGCTTCATCATTTCTTAGGTATTGAAGTCGCTTGGTCTCGGGCAGGTATCAGCTTGTCTCAGATAAAATATATACTTGATCTGTTAGATGAGATAGATTTTCTTGGAACTCATCCAGTTGATACTTATATAGATCATAATGTAAAGCTTTTGAAGGATGGAGGATAACTATTTGGAGAACTAAGAAAATTTGTCGTTTGGTCAGAAAATAGAATTATCTTACCATCATACAACCAGATATTTCCTATGCAGTTAGCGTCATTAGTCAATTCTTGAATGCACCCCTGGTTTCCCATTGGGAAGCTATGATACGTATTATTAGATATTTGAAAAAGACTCCAAGTCTTGAATTATTGTATAAACTAAATGGACATAAGAATAGAAGGGTTTACTGACGTAGATTAGGCAAGATCTCCATAAGATAGACTATCCACCACTGGTAACTTTTCTCAGTGGTAATCTTTGTCTTTTGGAAAAGTAAAAAAACAAACTATAATAGTAAGGTCAAGTGCAGAAGCAGGATATAGAACAATAGCTCATACTACTAGTGAGTTGACATGGTTGCCGCACTTTTTTCAAGAAAGTAATCTCTCGCCTTCTACCCCTATTCCAATATTTTGTGATAATCGGGTTGTTCTACATATTGTATCCAATCTAGTCTTTCATGAGAAGATCAAGCACATTGAAGTCGATTCGGGACAAAATATTGAGTAGCGATATATGTACACTATTTATGAAGACAGGCGACCAGTTTGCTGATATGTTTATAAAGTCATTGAATGGTAATTGGTTGAGGTTTCTTTGTTCCAAGTTGGGCTTATATGATATATATGCTTCAATTTGAGGGGGAGTGTTAAGGAAATAAATCAATAAGGAATCATTTATATCAGGCAAACATATATAGGGTTTTCATATCGTATTAAGTTCCCATAACTGTACTCTTGAGTTAATCTATATAATGTAAGTACAAGATGAAGATTTAAAACTTACTTCTCCTTAATGTTTATACCAACCTTTGTGTTAACAGCATGTATGTCATGTCAGTATAAAAAAGATTCCAAATTGATACAGATTCAGTTGCAAGAAAAATATATTATCATTACATCATCTGATATAAACAATTAGCAGTAAACAACCTGCAATAGAAGAGGCTCCATGTCTCTGAAGGTGCTCTCCTCGTGGCAGAGTGAAAGAATCAAATGATCAAGATATTTTCTCCAGCGAATTGTACCCCCAACAATTTCTGATACCTACAAGTTGAATATTAAGAGACTGCATCAAAATATCTTGCAGCACTCCAACCAACATGCTTACAGTCAAAATTTTACTTTTAAACAGTCCAAATAACCGGAGGCACATAAAATGACATTCATAAATTTAGAAATTTGATTACTGAATGCACGAGGAGAAGTTAAAAGATAAACCAGTCTGAGATCTCTGTCATCCAAATTACGAGTGCGAAAACCAAGAGTTCTTTCAACATATCCCATTTCATTATCCCCTGAACCCTTTCCTTGGTCATTCAATAGGTCGGCAAATGCACCACCGAGCTCAATTCTCATCAACCTGACAGCAGACACTACATAACCCAAGTAGAACTATAATTTTAATTCTCTCAAAATAAATAAATAAATAAATTGTCAAAAACAAAAACTGAACCAGCTAACTTCATTTATACTGATAAAGTAGCATACCAGCTCTGTGGGGTGATACTTCCGAATTTAGCTTCTGGGGTTTTCCGGCAGGGTTTGAAGAACCTTTTTACACGAGATAATGTTAGTTCATCCAATAAAGAGACCACATTTGCCAATTCGAATTTCTTGATTTTTCTCTAATTTCAAGTAGGCCAAGCTGATATAAATCATTGACGATATACCTGTTCTACTTGTAGTAATGGAAGTTTTTGCCGAGTAGTCCCTTGAAGTTCTCCTTTTGTTGTTCTTAGCCGGTGGTGCAGCAGAAGAACAAGAAACTGAGAGAAGCCTTGCGTAATTGCACGGTTGGACAGAAATCATGCGTTGCATTGAAGCTAAAAAATTAGTATTATAATTGTTGGAGTTGCAGAGAGGCGTATTCACGCGGCAATGGAACGCCTCCATTTCTGTTCAGCAAAACCAATTGAATTCTGGGAGATGAGGTGTAGCAAATGCAAATTATAAAAATCCATACATAGCCCCTGTTTGAGCTCAACAGACGTTTTTTCCCCAAACTTATTTTACAGATAAACCCAACCATATATTTTGAGGTAACAGTATTTCCATTCACACTTTTATATGTACATACATTTTTAAAAATTAAATTTTGTTATATTTTAAATCCTATATTAATTTACTTAAATAGACATAAACAAAATTAAATAAAAATATATAACTCTAAATTGATCCACTAGTTTTTATTTTCATTTGTGCTTAACTAGAATCTTAATAAATAGAGAAAAATACATGAATATAGTTATAGGTGATGGTGGTCCTAAACGTGGTTTCTGTGCCAAGAATCATATTGGATTTTGAAGAATACAAAATGAAACCCGATGTAGTTTCATCAGCTAATCAAGAAAGAAGAATAATTGTAGCCAATAAAGTTAGTAAAATTCAACTTACTTAATCGAACTTTCTTCTTCTTTCTTTCTTTCTTTAGTTTTTGTTTTTTGAAGCATTCTAATACTCAGATCTTCAATAGACAGAATTATTTCGTGTTAATTTAATGTTCAATTAGTTCAACTTTGTTCTTATTTCATGCATTTGGTTTAAGAGTTTATGGTTTTAGAGATTGGACAAATCTATAGTGATAGAGATGTATTTAAAATGGGATGAATATATAAAATTCATGTGTATATATAGAATTTAAATAAATCAATTTAATAAAAATATGATTGGAATATGACGTGGATTTGAATAGTACTTTTTAAAATTTTATTAGGAATGAACTTAGAGTGCATTACCTTATTTTTAACCATATATTTTTTCAATAAAATAATTTACACGAAAACTCACAAATATTTTCTATTTTTAAGTTTTTAACCAAAACAATCTTCAAAAAAAAAATAATCATTACAAAATTCATTTCATTTTTTTATTAAATGGGACTCCAAACAAGGGAAAAAAACAAAAATTATGACCAACTTGAAATTTCGCACAAACTTAAGTAATCGTTGGTGAAATTAACTTATTTAAGAGTGTAAAGGTGAGCCAAGCACGACATTTTTTTTTCTTGGTACATTCTTCCATCTCAAATGAAGCAGTACAAGCCAATTAACAGTGGCGATGGCTTCGCTTCTGCGTTCGAAAACAACCCAGAAACTTCATCTGTTACCCAGAAAATTGTCAAAACGCAGAAGTTTCTCGTGTAAAAGTTTTTCCAAACATTTTACAGAAAATTTAGAAGGCAGTAATAGCAGATGCCAATCCTCAACTCCCCCGCAATCGCCCGGTCAGTTTCTCTTTTCTTCATAATAATTCAGCATTCTTTATATACGTTTTCTTCGAAATATACACTTGAAGAAGTGTAAAGTTTTGTGCTTTCTGAAAACAGGTGAAGAAATGGAGAGTAGCATACATACTATGCTGACAATTGACCGTTGGGAGTCTCTCAATTGTATGAAATATAAGTTGGCATCTCTGAGGCCAGTTCATGGAAGGTTGGCACTGAAAATATTGAGCTGGTTTCTAAAGCAGCCAGGTTTGGAGCTCAGTCATATAACGCACATGTACTGTATCACAACCCATATTCTTGTTAGAGCTAGAATGTATAAACATGCCAATTCAATATTACAGCATTTATCTGGAATGGATTTGGGGTCAAGTTCAGTTTTTAATGCCCTTATGGATACTTATCGTCTTTGTCACTCAAGCCCTGCAGTTTTTGACCTGTTAATGAGGGTTAATGTACGAAAGGGGTCAATTGGCGACGCTTTAGATACTTTCCGATTGATGGGTTTTAGGGGGTTTAGCCCGTCCATTTATACTTGCAATATGATCCTAGGAGCAATGGTGAAAGAATGGTCTTCTGAGTCTGTGTGGTCATTTTTCAGAGAGATGCTTTCAAAAGGTATTTGTCCAAATGTTGAAACATTTAATATATTGTTAAATGTTCTTTGTGTTCAAGGGAAGCTGAAGAAGGCTGGTTATTTACTAAGGAAGATGGAGGAGAGTGGTTATGCTCCAAGTGTGGTTAGTTATAACACATTACTCAACTGGTATTGCAAAAAGAGTAGGTATAAACCAGCTATTGAGCTGCTGGATCACATGAGTTGTAAGGGTATCGAACCAGATGTGTGTACATATAACATGCTTATGAATAATTTGTGTAGAAATAATAGGAGTGCAAAAGGGTATTTATTATTGAAAAGGCTGAAGATGAGGATGATACTCCCCAATGAAGTCACCTACAATACCCTCATCAGTGGCTTTGTAAAAGAGGGAAAAATTGCAGTTGCCAGAAAGATTTTTGATGAGATGTCTAACGTTAATCTTTCACCAAATTGTGTCACTTATAATGCTTTGATTGAGGGGCATTGTCAAGCGGGCAATTTCGAAGAAGCCTTTGAACTTTTGGAGAAAATGGTAGCAAGAGGATTAATGCCGAATGAAGTTACTTATGGAACACTTTTGAATGGATTATGCAAGCATGCCAAATTTGATTCTGCAAGAATTCTAATTGAGAAGTTAAAGCTGGATAGTAATAATATTAACTGTATTACTTATACTATCTTAATAAGTGGGTTAAGCAAAAATGGGATGCTAACCGAAAGCATACAGTTGCTTGATAAAATGTTTGAGGATGGTGTAAATCCTGATATTGTTACATATTCGGTACTTTTAGATGGATTTTGTAATGCCGGAAAGATGAATAATGCAAGGGAAATAATTTGTAAAGCATATAGATCGGGTATCATACCAAACAGTATTATATACTCTATTTTAGTTTACAATTTGTGCAAGCAGGGAGATACAACTAAAGCAATCAAAGTTTACACAGCAATGCTACAGAGTGGTCATTGTGCTGACCTTTTTGTTTGTAATGTATTGATATCTAGTCTCTGTAGAGGTGGGAAGGTGGGAGAGGCAGAGATTTTCATGCATCGCATGAATGAGGTTGGTCTTGTTCCCAATTCTACTACTTTTGATACCATTATTGATGGCTATGGAAGCATAGGTGATGGGGTGAACGCTTTTTCTTTCTTTGAAGAAATGGTTAGATTTGGTCATCAGCCTAGCTTCTACACATATGGAAGTCTGCTGAAAGGACTGTGTAGAGGAGGATATTTTATGGAAGCACTGCAATTCTTTCATAAACTCCGAAACATACCTTGTGCTGCAGATGCTACTATGTTCAACACTCTGCTGGCTAAGATTTGTGAACTGGGAAATTTCAACCTAGCTTTGCTTATTTTGGATGAGATGGTTCAAAATAATGTGCTTCCTGATAGTTATGCTTATACTTGTCTTATTTCCATGTTGTGTAGAACGGACAAGGTTGTTACGGCAGTTATCCTACTGGAAAGAGTATTGGAAAGAGACACTTCTTCTCTGAACCAGTTTATGTATACAAGCGTCATTAATGCACTTTTCAAGACTGGCCAACCAAAAGCTGCTATTTACTACTTTGAAGACATGGTAAAGCGAGGGCTCAATCCTGATACAGTTACACTCAATGCAATTATAGATGGGTTCTCAAGACTCGGACAAATGAGTAAGTTGGACGATATCCTTTCATTAATGAACGACAAAAGTTTGCGCCCTAATTTGGCTACATATAACATCCTTTTACATTTGCAATCAAAAAGACAGAATATGTCAGAGTGCTTTGCGTTGTATGATACGATTACAAGGAAGGGTTTTGTCCCTGACAAGTTAACATGTCATTCTATAGTTCTTGGACTTTGTAAATCAAGCATGACAGATGTTGGGGCTAAATTTTTGAAGATGATGATCGGGGAGGGGACTGAAGCAGATCAGTTGACATTTAACATGCTAATCACCAAGTATAGCGAAAGGGGTGAGTTGGTGAAGGCCTTTGATTTGTTAAATATCATGAACTCGGTTGGAGTTTTACCAAATAAAGATACATTCAGTTCGATTTTTAATGGACTTAAACACATATCTTGTTTTGAAAAAGCCCGTGAGATGCTGGAGATGGGTTTTGTTCCTACTAATAGACAATATAGTAGTTTGATAACAAGTATGTGTAGAGCTGGAGATATACAAGGAGCATTCAAATTAAAAGATGACATGGAAAAGCTTGGCGTTGGCTTGCGAAGTGTGGCTGAGAGTGCTATGGTCAGAGGACTTGTGCAGCGCGGCAAGACAGAGGAGGGAATGCTTGTTCTTGATTGCATGCTGAGGGGGCAACTTGTTCCAACTGTTCCAACTTTCACAACTTTAATGCATAAGTTCTGCAAAGAATCTAAACTTGAGGAGGCATTTTATTTGAAAGATTTAATGGAATTTCATGGTGCAAAGCCTGATGTTGTTGCTTACAATGTTCTCATTACAGCTCTCTGTCAAGCTGGTGATACTAATAATGCCTTCAAACTATATGATGAGATGAAGAAAAGAGGTGTCTACCCCAATATTACCACTTTTAGTATTCTCACTAGTGCCATTTCTTCTGGAAATGACCCCATGAAGGGTGAAACACTTCTGATGGATCTAAAGTTGAAAGGATTGATTAGTCAGAATTCAACCACAGAAGTTTGGCAGAGGAGATTGATGCATGCCATGAAGAAGTTAAACCACATAAAGCATAAAGGAAAGAATAGTGTGAAGAAACGATGAATCTAGTTAACTAGTCAGGCTGGATAGAGTAGTCATTCTCAATGGTTTACTGGAAATCCAGGATTTCATTACTGTACCATACCTTAGCTGGCTTTATTGCAGAAGCCAGGTATGTGATTTACTTATTAGCTATGGCTTTCATCATTGGAGTATGCAGGCACGAAAACATGCACATTCACGGTCAGACACACACAAATATTCTGACACTTACCTTATGTTATTGGTTTGTGGATTCTATTTTGTTCTAATGCAGATAATCGAAGGCAATAATGAGTTAAACCAATATTTTGAGTTACAAGACTAGTTTTATGAGTCCTCATTAATGATGGTGAGAGTTAAAACTCTTGGTTCTTTTTAGTAAACTTTACTTCTTGAGCTTTTAGTTGTTTCGTCTCCTCCATTGGATGATTATATTCATGACCAAGCAGATCATGAGAATTGATGAGCACCAATGATCCCATGATGGAGATTGGACGATGTAATTCATAATGGCGTTGAGAGTGGATACTTTTGGCGCCAAGTAGATGTAGGCCTGTTATTATCTGGGGCTGAGGAAGAGGAGGTTAACTCAGACGTGAGTTGTCACTGGATCTAGAAACTGGAAATGCTAACATGTGCTTGGTAAATTCCTCCACTTCCAAATATTTTTCTGCTTCTAGCATTGCTTTCCATAAATCAAGTTTTCTGTATCAGCATTCCCATGCTCTGCAAGTATCCATACATATTCAGGCAAAACAATAATGTAGACAAGTAAGAATAAAAAATTAGAAAATTCAGGAACCGATTTCAAACTTGTTCAAATTATTCACTTTTCCTGTTTCATCACTGACAGTTTTTGGATACGTGTTTGTTCACTTTAAGATAATCCACAGACTAGGACATTAGTCTTTATGATCTAACTGATGGATAGTAATCTCTATCAGGAATACAGTCACAAAAAATTGAACTATCTATTTTACTCGTGGAAGAAAGGCCAAAGAGATCTTTAATGTTGAGCATGGGAAGTTTGGTTTGTTTCTGCCCTTCTGCACAAGTTTCTGAATTGCTTATGTGCTTCTGCAGACCTTCTCTAACTAGTGGTGCTCGTATTCCAGGATTCAAAGGCAATTTTGTCTTCAGAGAACTCTGGTTTTAGAGCAAGAGGACTCTTTGCGCATTTGCCATTTATTATTTCTAAAAATTCTGTTGGTTCCAATAAACGAATTAGTCGACAAACAGCTTGAGCAAGAATGATGTGTCTCCATAAGTCTATTAATCTGCACCCAGCAAATGTTGCAGGTTCCTTAGATTTGGATTATGCCTTGAACAAAATATAAACATGTTGCCGTTTGCTTGGCAGACAGCATATGGCAACTGCACGAGGGGATACTGTCTTGTATTTGACTTTGATTTAGTATTATTATTGTTTGACCTTGATTATTAAGGTGTTTATTTGTAATCACACTCTTTAAGTTGTTTATTATGTGAACAGTTTGAATTTCTTAAAATGAAATGAAGAATTTGTTTCTGTTGGATTCTTCTGAGCATGTATTCAATGAGCTTAGGTCATGGATTACATCAGCAAAAATAAATTTGACGTACTTGAACCCACTTGCTCTAACGTGGCTTAAATCTTTTAGTCGATCTAGCAATGAATTGAATGTGGTGAGGAAAGAGAGTTTATGAAGTTGACATCGTACTATAAAGGAATTAGTTCTATTAACTTTGAAAATTATATTTGACAAACTAATTAACTTAAAATAAGTTTGACAAACTATGTGAATTAATATGATGCAAACTTGATATTGAATTTTTGTATATGTTGGCATCTTATCTTCCACCAAAAGAATACATGTTCTCTCTTCTTATTGGTGGTGGTTGTAACTTCCCAAAAAAGGAAAAGGATTCCCAAATAATGCTTCTTTATTTAGTTATTGACGTATATATTTTCTGTTTGATTTAGCTAAAAATAAATATATATATATTGATAAAAATGTGAAATTTACATATTTTATGGGATTAACAATATTTACCCACTTTGCAATTAAACATTTTACAAAAATCTATTAAACATCTAAATTTTAGTAGAATCAAACAAGGGCTTAATTGCACATTGGCTTAAAATCCAGCCTCTGCCTCGTAGCTCATAATTTATCATTGACATCCTATCGTAAGCTTAGGTCGAATTTAATTTTTACTTGTAAAATATTATAAGTAATTGTGACGAGACTTGCAAAGAAGAGTTTTGCATATTTTGATTTCGCGTTGGAAAATGTTTGCTTTATTTTCAACCAAAAAGAGAAAAAATTTCATTTATTGGATCCACACATATCCATTTAAAGTGTAGATGATCGATTTATTTTTTCAAAACACCAAGGATCGAAACAATTGCCTTCTAATGATAAGAAGATTGGCAAACCCCAGGGACTATTTCAAATGCTTTTTGGCCAAAAATAAGTAAATAAATAGCACTCATAGTCTCATAGGAATTATGTGAAATGTATTTTTGACAATTTTGTGATACAAATTATGAAGTAAGAGACAATAAAGATGCATTTGATTGCAAGCATGAATTTGCATGAAAAGAAAATAAATTCTAAATAATTCAATCTTTTAAAATTTATCTGCATGAAAATTGACAATTAAATGTGTTTGATTGATTTAATTTTCAACCTAAAAAATATTATAATTCATTTATTATTGATAGGTAAATGAGAGAGATAAAGAGAAAGTGAACTCATTGAAAAATAAAATTTTATTCCTTCTAAAATAAAATATTTTCTATTTTCCTTGATTTTAAGAAAAATATAATCACGTGACCAAAAGTAAGAAAATATTTTCCATGAAATAAAATGGCAATTAAACAATATAAAAGTAAGAATTAGAGGAAAAATATTAGAAATCAAATGCACCCTAACAAACATTTTTCAATGAAAATATTTTGAAACTATTTTCATAATAAATAAAGTCGTTCGCCTATTTTCTCACTTGCCAAACACACCCTAACAAAATGCCAAAAATAAACAGTTATTAAATTAATTTACATATATACAAATACTTTACATATCGACGGCTCCATCTCTATCTCGACTGCTCTCGTCATTTTTATTTTTTTTAATCCTTAGAAACATCTCTTCCTGCGGATTCATGTCGGTACGTAATTCCAACAAGTCTCGGATTCTGATTTTGTTGATTATTTGACTCGGATTTGAATCGATTATGATTCTCTTTTTTGTTTGATTATTCCGCTAATCCTTTAATTTTATTTGGAAATTTTTGTGTTTTTGATGTTTTGATCGATCGCTTTGTGTAAGGGTTTGTACCGTTGAATTTTCGTTAATTTGAGACAATATTAAGATATATATTATAGAAAAAAAATTGATTTGATGTTTGCTGTTGTATGATGTAATATTGACGTGCTATGATTGTTTGTTTACCGGAGATGTTCAAGCGAATAAATAAAAATTTAATCCGTGTTTGTTGTTGTTGAATAGGTGTCATCTTATTCTCCATCTCAAAAATAAAAATAATGAGACCAAATAAATGAAAAGATGAAATATTTATGGCAATATGTTAAATTGTTTCCATTTAACTTGAAACTTCTTTAAGTATTTTCATTTGGGAATTTGGTAGATTTATTTTAGTTTATCAGTTAAATTTTTCTTCACTTTCTTCACTTGGACTTAGTGCTACCGAGCCACCACCATTGATCCTTAATGACATGTAATGAAACCTTTTGAGCCCTGCAACATTTTCCTGCTCGTTCTAAGGCAAAATTAAGTGGGTTATAAAGACGGTGGTGATATTTTAATGTTATGGTTTTTGGAGATATGGTTGAATATATTCCCTGTTAGGCTATTTAAATTGATGCAGGTAAGAATGTTGGGTGAGGGATGTATCTGAAAGTCAAGTTCGTCAAACATCAAAATTTTATGTATGTCAGCAAGGCTAATTGGTTAAAAATTAGTACTTTTAATCTTTTTTCTTTATTTTTATGGTAAACTATTAAGTCTACTATGGTTATAATAATTCAAAGTGCAACGCATATGTGAAACTATTCATACAATAAATAAAAACTGTTCAATATAATTTAGAGAATTATGATCCTCGCAAAATATCGAACAAGTGTTCCCGACATAGATCTAGACTGAAGTGTGCAACACTGGTACTTTATGCATTTAGACGAATGATTGTTAAATGTCATGTACATTTGGAATTAGATTTAGTTTATAGCGGTTTGAGAAACTTTTTCGTTGGGTTGGAGGATGAAGATATAGCATAGATACTTATATTCTGAATAGACTTAGGTATTCACTTAGAAAAGTTTACATTCGATTCTCTGCAATTATTTTCCATCCACAGTTTGTAGTGGTTTGAGAAACTTTTTTGCTGGGTTAGAGGATGAAGATATAGTAAAGATACTTCTATTCTGAATGGATTTAGGTGTTCACTCGGGAAAATCTACATACGACTCTCCACAATTATTTTCCATTCACAGTTTCCAGTGTCTAACCTCATTGCAGGTGCCAATTTGCTCAGAATTTCAGACAAAGTTAAGTGGACTAGTAATGTTAGTGAAACGAATTTCAGAACCATATCATTATGCTTCAATGACACAATTATCCTTTTGGATTCCTCACCTTTAATGTCCATATTTGTTAAATTCATAAAATTAACTTGGCTTTAGGTTCAATCTATCATTGGATTGGACTGAATTGAAGTTTGAAAGTGAATATATATTTCATGATACTTTTAGATGCCAGATTTTAACTACAAACAAGGGTCATCATGAAGTGTGATGCATTCACCGTCAATTTGTTTCAAAAGATTTTGGTTGCATGTTCTTAGACATCAATAAACTAAAGGAAAATGAGCCCTCAGAGTTCTTCTATTAGCACTTCACATTTTACATTCATATGTTGTGCATTTGCAACAATTTTCCATATTTTTGTTCTCTCTTCACTAAAATTAATATTTTTGTAATTGGAATTAATTAAAGTGGCATATATCGATGCTTGAATCTGTTCTTTCAAACCAACAAAAACATATTGAAGAAGATTAATCGAGATCGGACATGAAAAAAAGTAAAAAGAAAAAACAATACGAAAGAAACATGGAAGCAGAACTAGTTTAAAAACTTTTGAATTGACCTATGTATCCGTAAGAACTTGAATAACATTATGCAAGTCCTAGCTGCAACTTGCGCTGCCATGTGTATAAAAGGTGCAGTCTTCACCTTCATGTACTAAACTGCAAAGCTTAAATATTTTCTTCTTTGTGTTGGATCTGGTTCAAGTGTTGTGAATTGATTATCCTACTTTCAGACGTATAGGATGCTCAGCCTCCATCTTGTTATCCTTTCATTTAGCAATATTAATTGAAGATTTATCTGTACGAAAAGTGATTTGTCTTTGCTTGTAGTCATCTATGGAATCTTCAACTTCAGTTTTGATAGCTGATTATCCATATTTATTCTGGGTTTTCAATACCTTTATGTACATCTTCATTACTTTATTTGTGTTTTATCTGTAACTTTGGGCAGGAGAAGGGTCGGCCATTGCCTAAGTTTGGCGACTGGGATGTTAATGACCCTGCTTCCGCAGAGGGATTTACTGTCATATTTAACAAGGCCAGGGATGAGAAGAAGACAGGTGGGAAACCTGAGTCACCTTCAAAGGTGGATACAAATACTAAGCATGGAGTGGAACCTTTAAAACCTCAGGGTGTAAGTTGTTCTTTGATGCTTATTTTAGTCTTCAGAATTGAATATGAAGTTACATTGAGATGGATATGCTTTAAATGTCTTTTAAATAGTGGTAGTTATCAGGGGCGGAGCCAACAACCAACGAGCCGGTGTGGCTAAAAAAGTTACATATTATTGAAGCTTTGCGGTTAAATACGAATAACTGTATTAGCTTTCAACGTAAGTGATTGTAGCTCATATGGAAGAGAGCTCGTTTTACATGTGAGAGGCACCTAGTTCAAATCCCCTCACCTCCACTTCTTCTTTTAATTTTTTTTTTTAACACGATAAATAATAATTAAACAACTCTATATTATTTTGTTTTCATTGACATCCACAGGAGTGTCGTATGTCAAATGGTAAATTTCTTGCTTTACATGTAAGAGGTGTATGGGGTTTGATTCCCGTCATCTCCTCCTCTTTTAATTTCTTTAACACAATAAATAATAACTAAACAATTCTATATTACTAGTTTTTGTTTCTAAAAGAATCTCATTAAAAAAATTTGTTGACTCAAATTATTATTTCATAATATATACTTATATTTTTATCAATTTATTTTGTAAAATTCAAATTTGGACAATTTTAAGTACTGATCTTTTTTCTTTTAAGAATTTGAAAAATATTTTTCTTTTTTGGGGTCAAAAATAGCTCTAAAAATTACCATTTTAAAAATTTATTGACTTAATTTATTACTTCATAATATGTAATTGTTATGTTTTATGAATTTATTTTGTAAAAATTGGACAATTTAAGTACTAATCTTTATTCTTTTAAGAATTTGAAAAAACACTTTTTTTGGGGTCAAAAATAGCTCTAAAATCATCGTTTTAAAAATTTGTTGACTCAATTTATTACTTCATAATATGTAATTGTTATGTTTTATCAATTTATTTTGTATAATTCAAATTTGGATAAGCTAAGTAATAATCTTTATTCTTTTAAGAGTTCGAAAAATACTTTTCCTTTTGGGGTTCAAAAATAGCTCTAATATTCATTGTTTTGAAAGTTTTGTCTTTATCATTTAATCAATACTTTACTTATTAATTTCATCTTGTCTCGCTTGAGTTCATAAAAATTTAAAACTTGATCATATATATATGATTCAAAAAATATATTTTTATTCCTTATTATTTTGTGTTGTATTGAACTATATTTTCATTTTTATATGATTTTAACGTTTTAATACATTTATATATTGATTGGAGATTTTTTTAATTTAAATTAATTAAATATTAGTAAACAATCTCACTATATTGGATGGTAGCTTGATGACTACTCGACACTCCGCCCTAGCTCACTTGAGCGGTTGGATCCGTCCCTGGTAGTTACCATTTTTCATGTCTCACGGTCTTACATTTGGTTTATTTGGCATAATTTTGTGTGAGAAATTTAAGTCATTTTTGGTAGAGATTCTTTAAAACTCATTTTTCCTCAAACTCATTTCAATCACACACACTCAATAAAATAATTTTGTACATGGATTCATAAGTTTTCCTTTACTTTTTCACCACAACTTCTTAAATAAATTCCCTTCTCATAGATCAATTCACGAAAAATCTACTTCAAACAAGCATTTAGGGCCTGTATGAGAGTTTTTTCCCACCGATTTTGATCTTTTTAGGTGGCACCGTTATGGGATGTTGGAAAAACTAGTGCTTGTTATCTTTTCTGACACTAATTCTGTGACTGGTATAAAAAATAAAATCGGTGTAGTGTAATTTTGGCCGCCTTTTTTCAACCCACCAACTAAATTGGTGGGTTTTGGCCGTTTCTCAAAGCCCTTCTAATTTTATCCCTTAGAAAATAATTATTTGATTCCACATATATTGTTCAAAATTAACTTGTAATTAAAAATACATTGACTAAAAAAATTATAAGCAAAAAAATTACTTTATAACTAAAGAACTTATAAGTAAAAAATTACATATAAGATAAAAATAATTTTTTGTGTAAAAAATTCCTTTTATAGTAAAAATACTGCCAGTGCTACAAAATTCACTTATGAAATATAAAAATTTACTTATGTGTTAAAAATTATTTAGAAGTACAAAATTAGCTTGTAACTGTACAATTTATTTACAAGGGAAAAACTACTTATACTTAAAATTTTAATTATAAGTAAATATTTCACATTTTAAGTTGAAAATTAACTTATATGTAATCCAGATAATAGACTCTCAAATGTGGGTTGGAGTATTATAAAAATCGCTACTAAAAACCCCACGAGACCGGACCCCTCATAACTGTCCAAAACTGGTACCCTAAAACTCCAAAGCAGACCCTTAGTATTGGCCTTTCTTCTCGAAGATATTATTATTTGCCGTATCTGGTTATGTGATTTCTACCTGTATAATTTTCATGACAGTTGCAATATTGGTGACTGATAATGTCTTTTTTATTGGAAAGAACATACTGGAATAAATTATTTTGTTTTCTCGCGAGGAAGTTACTGCCAAATATGTGGTATTTTATTTTTCAGGCTGCTTTATAGTGAAGTAATTTTCACGGCCAAATTTATAGAAGGGTGAAACGAGGCTTCGTTTTCTGATTTTCTCTGGTATCAACTGACAAAAAATAATTCATTGATTTGCAGAAGAAATGGTTGTGCTGCATGCAGAGCCCCCGAGCAGAATCTTGATCAAGTTGTCTGTGTAAAAGATCAATATAGGAAGGGCATCTCTATAACGGCTCAAGTTATATATGCCTTCAGATAGAATTTGCAGGTGTTATCCGGCACCATTTGTGTTGTGTAAGAGACGAATATGAAAAACTTGAACAAACCCGTCTGTTATATTTTGCGGATCATCACGATGAAGTTGTGTTCGATGGTCCCTTTGTATCCTGTGGCCTGTAGAGCTTTTGTTGTCTCGCGTTAATTTTTAAAATCACTTGCATATTTATTTGTTAAGCAAACGTTTTTACATTATCTTTCTCAACCTACATTGTGCTAGTTTATTTTGCGAGCGTACTCCCTACCCAGTTTAAGGGTTGTTGCGTTGCCTTAGAATCTTTTACGCCATCCCCAGAATTCACATTGGAACAGTTCTCCATCCATGAAACCCTCTCTGGCACGTAGTAGTTGTTGAGGGTAAATCCCATGTTGCCCCCATTTGGTCCCCATTATTTCAGTAGTCTTATGATTTTTGTGAATAATGTTACAAGGTTATCTTTCAGGAAAGAAAGCTGAAGTCTTGACAAGGTAACAGAGTTTATTAAGCTCGAATGTGCAATTCAATCCAGTGAAGACTCAAAAGGAGAACACGTATTCAAATATTGGTATTTCTCAAACGAGTTGTGAGGGCATGTAAGGGTAAATTCTACGTCGAATGGACAAAAATAAATATACAACCAACAAATTCTTGAAACAGGTTTTATAATAATTTAACATGGCAAGAGAGAAGTGCCCTGGATGGATAATAATAATAATAATAATAATAATAATAATAATAAGGGAACACTAGAATTTCTGCGGTTGATGAATGCCCTAGTGAAGTTAAACTTAAACTCTAGATGCCCCTAGCTTTCGCTCAAACAAACGACGCAAGATGTAGACTTGCAAAACAGAGGCCCCAATGAGAAAAATTGATTCATATATAGCTTTGTGGATTGCTCTTCTGCTCATTCCTTCATTTACTGCAATTCGAATAACATAAATCTAGTTAGTGCATGAAATGTTATAGATCCACGAGACTGTGTAGCACATTCCACGTAAAAAGAAATGAAAGGAAGACCTAATTTTCAAAGAGAAAATAAATTGAGCAAGTAATTCTAAGAACGGTAATCCACATCTAGTCTCTCTGTTCCTCCCTAAAACGCTTATGTTGGAAGAAATGACGACAATCTTTTTTGTGTTTCAACAGACTACTCCTCACAAATGGTTGTGAAATTAGAGTGGTTCAGCACTACATTATCCATGGAACTCCAAGAACGGAAGCATCCTCATTCTAAAAATTCGTGCACCTAAACGACATGCTCGGGTCCTATATTTTTGCTGGGAAGGAAACACAGAGGACCTTCTCTCATGTTAGGTTCGGGAAGAATGAGACCCAATATTCATTATGAAAATTTTAGTGAATAAATTATAGCAGCTCAAGTATTACATTCTTCTCATTTCTTTCCAGACGTTCAATGATATTTGGGGAAAAAAGAATGTCCTTTTTTCCGGCAGAAGATAAAATGCACAGAAAACCAGTTTTTCCTTACTGAACCTACGGATCCAAATGCGGCGCTAGCACATGATATATGAAGCTAATTGCTAACATGGGCTCGTGAAGGGAAAAAATAAAAGATGTAAAAAATGGGCAATAGAAGAATTAAGTGTGATATGTCAAGTCCAATAAATGTGGGCTGAAGTATTTGACATATAAATAACATCACAAACAGAAAAAGTTGAACCAATACCTATTGCCTGACGATCAGTCTGAGCCTCGAGCCAATGTTGCTCAAACTGAATATTATACAAAGCTTCCTCTAGCTTCCCAATGTGTTCAAAGAGAGGTTTGAAATGCTCTGCAGAAGTCAAACAAAACATGCCATGTTCAATATTAAAAGGATACATCAGAGACAGATTTAAGAAAAATCACAGAAGAATGCTTACCATCTTTAGCATGCTCATCATGGTATGCAAAGTGACCAGCATGCACATCGAAGTCTATGGTTTCATGATAGGGGGACTTATTAGTGAAACAAAAACGGTAAACTCCTTGATGATAAGACAAAAACTCGTGCTTCTCAGTTGTCTTATCACGTACATCATGAATCTGTTCACCATTTGGTCCCTTTACCTGATAATTTAATTAAAATTGAGCAGGCAATCCCACCAGTCAGAAGGAGTATCTAAACCAAAATATTTTGTAAAAATTCATAAGCATAACATTTTCTTACATGGTTTGTACAACCACGCCATCACACAAACTGACTTTTAGATAAATATGATAACAATAAGCTTATAGTATTTTTTTCCCCTCGTGGACGTAGGAGGAGGGATTTGATAAGAAAAATATATATCTATTTCACATTGTCCCGAGCAAACACTAACTGATGCTTGTTTCACACCAAGCATATACCAACGGAAGGAACCGGTGTATCAAGTCTCTTTTTCAAATGAATAATACTATTTGTACATAATGGAGTTACACAATGATTTATATACAGATGAGATGTAAAAAAGAGAGTAGCGAAGGTTTTTTTTATTTGGTTGAAAAAATTCTAGCAGAATCATATCTCACCACATCGACTCGCTTTCATCCCTTGCCGTTCGTAGTCCAAGGGAAATTCTTTTTAGAAGGTGTTGCACCAGCAAGGGGATATTTCATACTTTATAACTCAAATATTTTTCATCTCAGTAAAAGAAAATAAAAGAATAAACAGGTACATCATGTGTGTGTAAATCATTATATACATATAGCACAACCGTTTATAAATATTGTTCTCAATTCCTCCATTCTCAAATAGTATTTCCTAGAACTAGGAAAGATTTCCCCATAACTAAGGATAACAACAATTAAAAAGGAAGAGATTTTTGTTACTAAAGCCTTCATCTTCATCTAAGAAATATTTGTATGGCCACAAACATTTGAACAATTAGGAATGCTTGAATTATGTTCAGTATATATGCAGTTAATTTTCTCCTGTTGAAAAGCCAGAGAGCAAACTAGCCATCTGTTCTAGGAATGGAACACCCTTTCACAACTGCACAATGTCATAATACAAAGAAGGTCTTGGTAATATAATGCTCTTTAATGATAACCTTTAGTTCAATCCAAATGTGAATACAAGAGTAGTTCGGTGAATGCAATTGTCTAATTATAGGAACTGTTTCTCCATTCACTGATCTTATTTTCATCTTTTTTTTTCCCTCCGCTTTCAACAATTACTAAAACACACATCAAAAAATAAACTCAACACACAGTAATTATTTATATTCCACACTGATATACATCTTTTATCATAGTGGGCATGACTCTGGCCAGCAATTCATAAGGTATTTTAAATTAGATTAAGAGTTGATTCCCAAAAAAGATACAAAAACTACATCAAAAAACACATCAATTACCGCATCTCCAAAACAGAAAAACTCCACACACACACCAAAAAAATCCATCCAAAAACTAGGGAAATTGGGATTAATTTCGTTGGAGTCCGATCTGAAAAACCGCATCGAATTACTTAGGGGTCCACTTTGAAGTGGTCAAGAAAGACCTCTTTATCCAAGGAGCATACTATATGTACGGAAAAAACTTCCATAAATTTTGACCAAAAGCCATTGAAGGTTGGCTGCAAAAAATAGTTTTTGCAGCCAATTATTTGCTACCACCACGGCATCTGTAAGTAAACAATTATGGCCCACCCACACAGGTCGAACCTTGGGAGACATCATCATTACACGAAAATAATAATACATTGTCGTATTGGTTGCTTCTTGCAATGGAAATCACAAATTTAAAGTGTGTGGGCAAAAATCTTTCACCAGGAAACTGTGTGTATATTTTCAAATGTTGTTTATTTGATTAGGACATGAATGTTACCTCTTTATTTATTTATTTATGTATTTATTTATTTTTTACTTATAAAAGTACCCTTCTTTTTCTTCTTTTTGATCTCCTTATTTTCTTCTATTAATTCCTCTATTTGGATGAAGATGATTGGCTAAAGTTATTAGAGCATGTTTGGTTAAGTCTAAGAAAATAAAGTCAATTTTAAGTAATTGTTTGTCTGCTAGTATGTTTAGATAACTTACTTATTTCTTATTTTTAATTAAAAGATGTGACTTTTTTCGAGAGTAACTTTTATATTACTATCAAAATAATTAACTTACTTAAATTTAACGAAGCAAAAGATATTTATTTTATGCTACAATGTACTTTTTTACTCGTGTAAACTTACTTACAAAATCAAAATTTTCAAAGCTTAGCGAAAAATTCTCATAGTATACCTTAGAAAAGTAATTTGGACAATATATTGAATGGATGATTTTTACGTGCTTTTTGGGAGGAAAAGATAGAAAGTGATCGGTGATCCCACGCGAACCACCTCCAAATAACCTACTTTTCCTTGTCCATTCTGGTCAAATGATTCGAACCCATAAGCTCCTGTTCTGAATATTGAAAGTCTGACCACTCTGGCATTAACATGAATTGAGCAAAATAATACATATTACATTTACTGAGTTTAATGAAATTATAAAAATTCGAAATCGTGCTCTTCCTTTAAATGATACAAAACTTGACAACAATTTCATTTGGTGATTACGGTTTATTCTTATAACAGAATTATATATGTTCAATATGAACAAAATGATTGTTATATTTACATTTTAGGCCTTATTTTATTTTCATTTATTTTAAAATACATTTTTTATCTATCTTATTTTTAACTATATATTCTTTAATAAAATAATATTACACGCAAATTCAAAACTTTCCCTTATTTTTAACCACACGTTCTCCATGAAATCACAGCTTCAAAATGCATTTTCTGCTAAAAAAAGGACATCAAATGGGCTCTTAATACTTTACTGCGGCTGATGGTCGACGATAGACGGCCGCCCGTGCTGACTAAAAATCCTAGATTCGCCACTGCCCATGCCTAGGTCAGACAATGTAAATTAATATGACTAGGGCATGGTTTATATAAGAGGGTAAAAGACTAATGGGGCCAAGCTGTCAAAAATTATCTCAATACTGCTTACACAAAATATATCAAATTATATCTCTAAATCATCAAATTCCAACAAGAATTACCCAGTTGTTCCCTTAAAATTTCCCTAAGTTGATCTAAAGTTGTCACATCATTTTTAGTCATAATCACATTTCAATCGACAAAAATAATTGATGAAAAATACGGATTACAGTGGCATGGGAAAAGAAAGTTTACCACAAGGTCAACGCCATCTTCACTGTAATGCCAAGAACCCTCAGACTTGATCACCACAAAT